CAGTCAGTTATACTCAGTGCATTAAAATACTCTGATCAATGTACAAATAGCTACTCTTTGGTTCTCATCTTGAGCTTGCTTCACAGAGATGCAGAACTGGAGAGAGGTGCACTGATGCATGAGTTGTTGGGCATGAAGACACCTTTGTCTTGAGAGCAGGAGCCACATCAAGTACTAAGTCCATGGCAATGAAGTGGGACACAGCACTGTACTGTCCCCTCGATGCAGAAGGAGGTTCCAGGTGACCTTGAGCGTAAAGTTCACGGGAAGGAAGGGAAGAAACAAAGCTGAGTTCATCCCGACTCACAAGTCCATGAAAGTGTGTTGTATATAAACATGGGTGGAAAACAGTCCAAATGAGGCAACAGAATAGTGCTAAAGGGTGAGTACCAGACTCCCAGTAACTAGTAACGTCCAACATCTAATCCAAAATCACTCAACATACCAGAAGTAGAAACTGACACATTCTCAAGATAAAGGACAATCATGAATGAGAAACCCAAGATGATGCAGCTGTGCAGATGATCAGCTATTAGCATCGTTCTTGTGAGATAAAGATCAATGTTTTTGAAATTAGTGGGAAATTTTTCAGGAGAAATAGAAAAATGTTAAAAGAACAAAATTAAAAAATTAGAGGTGAAAAAAACATTAAAAATTCACTAGATGGATGCAAAAGCAGAATGGAAATGACACGGGGAAAGAGCTAGTGATCTTGAACACCAGTCAACAGATCAACAAAAATTATTTAATCAGAAGGACAGAAAGGAAAAGATTGAAAAAAAAATTTAACAGAGCCTCATGGAAAAATATCAAGAGATTTAACATTTGTGTCACTGGAATCCCAGAAAAAGAGAACAAAGAGACTGTATAGGGAAAAAAATCTGAATTTACTGAAAGATATAAATTTGCAGATTCAAGGTCAGCAAACAGGATAAACTCAAAAGCATCTGCACTCAGATGCGTAATCAAAAGCTGAAAGTCATGAACGCTGTCAGAAAAAATACATAAAATGTTTGAACAGGGATACAAAAGGCTAAATTCATCACCAGACACCCTTGCAGTCAAAAGGCAGTGGTGAAAGCACATTTAAAATGTTAAAAGAGAATAGCTGCCAACCAGAATTCTATGTCAAGCAAAAATTTCCTTCAGAAATGAAAGCAACATAAAGGTATTCTCAGATTAAGGAAAATGAACAGATGGGCTCTGAGAGTCTGAGAGCAATCCCAGAGAGAAACTGCATCCAGGAACTAGGAGAGCAGTGGCGTGATAAACACCTGATACCTTGTGGACAGTTTCCCCTCCGATGTCATCAGGGGTACTAAAACCAGAAGTGATAACATAATGAGGGTGAGAGGTACTACTGTGTCCATAGATGAAAATACATGACAACAGTAACAGGGCAGGACAAACTTGCTTTCCATTCTATGCTCTTTAAGGAGGCTTGAATTATTTGCTTTATGTATATATTGCTTTTTCAGTTGTTTTTTTTTTTTTTTTAAGTGTTCTGGATTCTCCCCAGTGGCACAATGGGTTAAAGTGCAACACTATGAAGCTAGCTAGCCACAGCCACTTCAGTACGAGTTCCATCCCCAGCCAGTGGGGTGACCTACATGGCGTGGCAGACCTCTCCTGTCTTGCCCGCTGCTCCCCTCAGCGGTGTACTTCATCAATCTGCCTGATCTGCTCCCCAGTCTCTGGTGAATCCTCTCACCATTCCCACACCTCTGGCCTGTACTCCAATTCTGTATGCATAAATAAATAATAAATTTTTAAAAAGTGTTCTGTTTGATTTTCTAATTAAAATGAACCAGAAACTCAGCTTCTGCCCATGGCACTCACCAGTTTCAGGGTTTTGTTTGAATGACGTGGCCACTCCCCCTCTCCTCTTGAATCCTCCCTGGTCAGCCCATCCAGGCAGCACTTGGGAGGACTGGGTCATCCCATGGGTCCGTGAGTAGGAGACCAAACTAGAGGGGTTATACAACTGCTGAGCACTTTATCAAGGCTTCCTGCTTTGGACAAGTTGAGAAAGTTCCTTCCCCTGGCTTCTGCACACTGTCCCCACAAAGCGGGCCTCACAGGAGAGGGGATACTCTCCCTCCACTGGGCTCAGCCTTCCTGGAGCCATGTGGCCAATATTACACAGCACTCAGTCATGGGTCAAGCAAATGTAGTGGGGAGTGAGGTTCCACGGGGCTTTAGGACTGGCAGGTACTTCATATGTGGAGGATCTCAGATTTATTTAAGAATCCACCAGAAGCCAAGGGAAGGTCTCCCCAGTGAAGTGCAACCACATATAGTAGCATGCATACAATTTCAGAGATTCACAAAAAACCTGTACAGATTAGCTGTCACAGAAAAAAAGAAACAAAAATAGCCTGTAGTCTTGCCCCTAGATGTGTCTATTGTCAATACTGCGGTGTGCACCCGTCAGACTCTGCCTTTGCACATGGATGATTGCTGGCATTATCTTTGACAAAAATGGAATTGTGCCATCCATGGTCTTTGGGAAACTGCTGTTTTTATTTAGCAATGACTTACTGTCAGTGGGAAGCCAAACTACAACCACCTTGCCCATTACCTATGAAGGCAACTGTGGGGGGGTGAAGAACGTCCATCAAAATAGGTCAGTTGGCGCCCTAACCCCCAGGATCTCAGGATGTGGCTTATCTGGAAACAGGGTCTTTGCAGATGGAATCCAGTCAAAATAAGGTCATGAGAGTGGACACTAATCCAGTATGACTGTGTCCTGATAAAAGGGAGACCCCATGTAAGGACAAGGCCGAGAGAGAGAGATGTGTCTACAAGCCCAAGATAGTCCTGACCTAGGCTCTGTCACCTGACTGTGGCCACATCACCTATCTCTCTGATCCTTAATTTACACCTGGCAACTCCCAGGACAAGAATGATCGCTAACCCTTCAAACCGCTGTCTTCACCCTGCTCTCTATCCCAAGCTCCAAACTCCAGGCCTTCTTGACGAATCAAATCTTACACATCAAACCAAAGTTTTCCCATCCAGCCCTGCCATTTGGAAGGATCCGCACTGGGGCTTAGACCAAACTCAGGAGGCACGCTTCATGTCTGTCCCCCACTGGCACATCCAATCCTCCAGCAAGATCAGGAATGCCCCACCAAAGCCAATGGCCATAGTAACCATGTCACTCCATCCCTATCCCCTGCCACCCCCCCCCCCCCCCGCCCCGGCCAGGGACAAAGCAACCCTTCTCCAGACAAGTTTAACAACCAAAAATGACACCCCCCACCCCCCACCCTTTCTGAACATCCCCTAGGGGCAAAAGTCCCCAGCTGAGAGCAACTTCCTGTTCTCACCCTGCTGCTATAGTTAAGGTCTAGGTTGGACAGGTTACCTAAGCTTCCAGTGGGGTCCCTGCCCTTGGTTCTGACTCTAGCCCACCTGGGACCACCTGGCTGGGACTCACCTAAGAACAAATCAAGTGAGTAATCCCAGTTCTAATGGAGGCATGGTTTGAGGTGGGCAAGGCTGTTCTGTCCCCCCCCCCCCGAGCCTAGCTCATCAAATGAGCAGGACACAAGCACCCCAACAACCCTCATTATATGCACGTGTGTGCGGAGATAGGACTCCTCTCCTGAACGTAATCTCAAAAGTAACCGAAGAAATATGGACCAAGGTCACATGACCATTCCTACCTAGTAACTTAAAAACTGCTTCGAAAGTTGACGGGGTACGTAAGCCATCCTATGTTCTGCTGCTGAGAACATATCTTGAGGCCACCATTTGGGGAGCTTTTTCACAACACCAACAAGACGCTCTGACCCAGCAGTCCATTTGGAATTCAGCAATTCCATTTCTGGAAAAGCTATACTAAACCAACACCTGGGGTGGGGGTGTGGGGGGAATCTATGTGCAAATATGTTAAGAGTGCTAGGTTACATGTTACATACTGAATATCCTCAAAGAAAAAAACTGGCAACCACTTTATAGTTTAGTTATGAGAGACAGGTTGAGAAGACTTTAATGTAGCATCACCACAGAAGTGAAGACTATAAGGAATATAAAAGAAATGAAAAATACAAAACTGCCTCTATACCATGTTACAACTGTTTTAAAAACACAATGCGGAAAAATAGGGAGGAAATGAATTTTAAAAAGCATAGTAATAGAAAAACAAGAGACTACAAGTGATTTTTATTTCTTCTAAACTTTTCAAATTTTCTTCAAAAGGTAGACATTACTTATAAATTTCTTTTAATGAGTTGTTTCCAAGGAAGAAATGAATCTACTCCTTTGGGTTAAGACCCCTATCAAAGTGACCACAGCTAGCTGGGCCTCAGGTCCAGAGGGGCTCACACACACCCCATGTCCACGCCCCCAATATGGGGATAGGGACAGTTAGCTTGTGATAAAAAGGACAGAGGAAGGCCCGAGTGATGCCCAGGAGCCCCAATGAGACTGAGAGAAGGGGGCCTGTGTTAAGGGTTTGCCCAGCTTGCTCTCGGCTGCCAACCTCCTACAAGATGCACTATGAAGGGGGTGAGGGGTGAGAAGGTGTGGATATCTGCCCTCAGAAGGAGGGAGGGCATCAGATATACTTCTGCCCTCCCCTCAGTCCCTTGCACAATCCCCTTGAGAGGATTTTCCTGCCAAGTCTCAGAAACAGAGATCAAAGTGGCTTCCAACCTCAAATGCCCCTTGTCACATAGCTACCAGAACTACTCTTTTGTTCCAAGTACCCATGGCCTCTACAACCAGACCCAGTCCCCTATCCCAGAAAATTAAGAGAGCCCCATAAACTACTGTCACAGCAGCTGTTCCTAACACTCATTCCTTGAGACCACCCAGGAGAAAGGGAACACTGGGGCCAGTGGGGGTAACCTGGGCTGCATCTGGGATGTCAAGCCCGCTCAGTTTCTCCCTCCACCTCATATTCATGAAGAGTCTCAGATGACAGGCACAAGTGGGACCGAGATTTTGGCTGGGACCCCTGACCCAACACCTGCCAGGGAGGGTGCACTGACCTTCTCCAGCTTTTCGAAGTACTCTCGGAGGAACTTCATGGGGCGGTCTGGCTTGGCGATGCAGAGATGCACGATGCAGTCCTTGAGGACCTGCTGGACGCTATGTTTCTGCACATACAGCTCACACCCCTTCAGACTCTCGTCCTCTTCCAGCTGGTGAGAGGATGGGGAAGCCATGGCCACCAGTCCTGGTTCCTGCAATTAAACACAAACGACTGCCTGGCTGGGCTGGGGGACCATGAGTGGCCTCCCTGCCCCCAAATACACCCCTTACACACAGCACAAGGTTTAGCGACCTGGTCGACTCCAACGAGGCATGTGACAAGACTGCACAGGGGCACGGGGTTTCATTTTGCACTTGTCAAGGAGCTCTCATGTTGAGGGGCTAAATGAGTTGTTAACATACACCTGCAGTCTTTCCTCTAAAGGGACACTGGTAGGCACGTGAGGGCCGAGGGCTGGTGCTGCAGACCCTCTGTCTCTCGCCTGCTGGGCGACATGGGGACAGTTCAGGTCCAGCTGGCTTTGTGGTCTCCATTTCACCCTCCCTTCCCCCTCTGTGAGGACAACTATATGAAAGGCAAAGGAGTCACCACCCCTGGCCCCAGCTGGAGATCCCCCCCACTCGGGGACCAAAGAGATGGAGAGATGCTGCTATAGGGTGGCTTGGCCTGTTTCGCAGGAAAATAAAGAAAACGGGGGAAACCATTGAAATCGAGCAGAGGGGCCTTCTGGAGGACGGAACCGTGGAGAACAATGGCAGGGCCGCGTCCCCGGCTCTGCTCCCCGGGCTAACTTACAATGCGGTCATTATCGGAGCCGGCCCCGCAGGGCGCCAGGCCCGAGGACCGGCCCGGGACCGCCTGGAGACCTAGCCTGGAACGAGCCCCGGGACCCAGCCTCTGGTTCCGGACTCCGGGAGGCCCAGGCTGGCCTCCGAGTCCGGACGCCGCGGGGACCCTCCCCAGCCCAGCCCAAGGAGCGGGAACTCCCCAAAGGCCCGCATTTCTGCGGGGCTTCCCAGTGGGCCACGGCTCATTCCGGAACTAGCCGGGGATCCCGCGCGGACCCCAGTCCAGCCCCGTGCGTACCTGTTTGCGCGGCGCCCGAGGCAGAGACAGCTGCGTGGGGACGCGGCGACGCGGGGACGTTGGGCAAGCGGGTCCCGCACTGCAGCGGCGCCGCCTTCAGCGCCCGCCCCCGCGCTGCACGGCCACCCCCACTCGACCCTCTCTCCCGCGCCCCACTCCCACCTTCCACCCGCACTGACCCGCCTCTCCCCCACTCCTCACGCTCCATTCAACCCCCACCGTCATTCCTACACCACCCCGCCCCCATCCCCCCCCCCCACCCCTACATCTCATCCCCACTTCTACCCACCCCCCTTCCACCTCTCACCTCTCATTCCTCCCACACTCTGGCTTCCGTCCCATTTCCCCTCCCCCTCAGCTCTCCCTTACCCCTAGTCCACACCTGTTTCCCCTCCCATTCCTCCTCCTCCTCTTCCTCCTCCCAGGCCTACTCTCTGGCCCCCTCCCCCTCATAACTCGAGCCCTCCCCAACCCCCATTACAAGCCCGAATAGGCCTATTGAACACCCATAAATCATCTCCCATCACCACCCCCCACCCCACACCCTGAAAGTGCCCACCTTGACTGACTGCAGCCCACAGGTCCCGGACCTGCTCACACCTGATATGTCACATCTGCACAGTTCTGGGAGTCACCACAATTCTCCAGGGTCTGTCTGACCCAAGGCAGAGGGGTGGCCAGGTGGCCCCAGGCTACACCAGGGAGAAGCAACTGTATTCATTTTCTTGGTTTAGGGCTCAGGTGCATCTGTTACAAGGCAGGGAGAGGGGCTCCCCAGAACTGGAAACCTGCCTGTTCTAAAGAGGTTCTGCCATCCGCCACATCACCACAAAACATATAAGACCCTTAATGGAAAGGCGCTTTAATGCAGTGAGTGTGCAATACAGCAAACATAAAGAATATAGTTTCCAAATCAAACACCCAAAGTTACCCATCCCCTCGTGGGTAAAAGTCCACCCAAAAGGGATTGGCGCAAAGCGAAGCCTGAAAGCCCACTGCAAGCCTAAAGCACCTTCCAGTGGGGACCCAGAGAAAAGGGTCAGAAATGGCCAGACAAGGCTGAGAGGAAAAGAGCAAAATCAATTTAAACGCTGCCATAGTGAATCTCCCCATGGGTCTCTCACTCACATCTGTTACAACCAGTCCGGGACCAAGAAGAGAAGTTTCCTTTTGCCCACCATTGTGGTTTGCCCCCAATCTACCAGGATGGTAGCAGAAACTTCATCTAGTGGGGCAAAGACTTGTGCTCATCTGTCCATGCACTCCTGTTCGTGCTCCCCTGTGCTCCTACTTACTGCTCACCTGCCCTACTCACCCGCCACATAAGCATGGGACAGGATCAGGCTTGCACCTCAGCAGGACTCACCTGGTGTGACTTTTTCCTGCCCCTGCCAGAGTGAAGGTAAATTAAAGATGGAGTCAAACTAAGAGCTCCTTTCTACTTGCCCCCTGTTCTCACCCTGTGTCGACACATTCATTCTCTCCTAGCTGTAACTATCAGAAGAGGCTCATTTTCAGGAATGTGATTCCAGGTTCACCTGAAGCAAAAATCCATCCCACAACCAATTGCAACCTTTGATTCTTTGGCCGCAGACACCTTTCTCCTTTGAGTCTTCCTCCCTCCATCTCTCACTTCTCCTCTTCCTCCAGCTTCTTCAGTGGCCACCAGGATGGCCAGGAAGAAAAAGGATGACAAAGGTCAAGGTTCACCTGAAAGATGAAGGGTAGCAAGCGCTGTCTTGCATGACAAGGGCTTCCCAGGGTCAGGGGACAGATGTCAGCAGGGTACACAATGCCATGACCCTTTGCAGCTGTGACTTCTATGGTCCCAGTCTCAACTTCAGACTCTGTCAGACCATTGAGGTCCCTGCTTCAGGGACTTGCCCACCTCCAGGGGCCACAGGGCAGCTGCCCCAGAAAACTTGACCCCAACTCCTTCCAGTAGCAGTGTAGGGCATGACGCCAGTTGCCCCAGCCTGCAGACAAGCCTCCTCATCTCTCTGGCTGACCCCTCATGTTGATGGGGTGTACTAGATGAGGGGTTCAGTGAGTGAGTGGGCCCGTTGGGGTCTCTGAGAAAAGTTTCAACACAGTTTACATGCAGCAGCACCGGGCAAGTTTATTAAGGAAAAAGACACAAACAGGCAAAGGTTGCATTATAAAGGGCAGGTTTATTAGGAAAAAAGAGAAAAGAGGCTCCTGTACAGACACAGAGGGCAGAGGGCTGTTTCCCCAGAGTCAGGGGTATCTTTATATAGTATCCTTTGGGGAGATTCATTCTTTTGTGGCATTTTCAATCAATCTATTCAAGTTATTGTGAAATCTGTCACTTGAAAGTTCTGATTGGGTAAATCTTTAAGGACTGGTGTTTCCTTGTAACAATCCACAGTTCCCATATCGGCACCTCCAGTTTGTGCCTAAAGACTTCCTGAGGCAGTTTTGACATAGACAGTCTGATGAGGGCAATCATTTCTAACTACCTCTTGTTTCTGGCCTTGTGAAGCTTCCATCTTAAATTTTCTACTTTATGCGTGAGTGGAGGGGAAAAGCCTCCCAAATGTTTTGCCAGATCACTGCTCCATCCCAAAGATAAAACCAACACAGAGAGGCAGCCATAGGCCCAGCATTACAAAGTGAGGGAGCCAGGGGCCCGGCGAACCTGCTAATAGTGTGGCCTGTATCCAAACTTTCCAACTGGCTCAACTAATATAAGCCTTTGATTTCATACACGGTTGGTGCTGTGCTTTTTGTTGGTTGCAACTGAGAAGCAACCCAGTGAATACACCCGCTAATATACATAATCCCCCTGCACAGATAACCCCATAAAAAAGTCTTTTGATGAGGAGGGGTTGGTAGGTGGGCTGCAACTTAGGAGAGCTAAGTGCCTTTATGTGAATCGTGAATTCAGAGCTGGGTGTTAAATCCATGTGGGCCACAGTGTTGAATTACATGGATTGGTACCCTGCTGGACAGTTTAAAATTGTGGTTCTCAGAGGGTGTCCAAGCAGCCATGTCCTACTGAAAATATACAACCAGTGATCACGTCACCTGTACACAGTAAATTGTGCTTGTCTGAGAATGTCCCCTTCACACACTGAGAAGAACCACCTACGGAATAAAGGTATTCATATCCCCCAGCTCCAGGAGTCCTTACGTTACCCCAGGACCTCTAAAAGATCCAACTTCGAAGTTACATTCTTTTCCCAACCATCAGCCATCCCAAACTCTACACTCTGTAACTCCAATTCATCCACCAAGATTCAGCTTAAATGTGACTTCTGAGGACGCCCTCCTGGGCCACTGCATCTCCTTGTGAGGCACTCCCTGTCGTCCTCTGCAGCTCTCACCATGGCGTGACGGCAAAACAGGAGAGGCTGTTGAGCTTGGCGTGTCAACGAACCAACAGGCGTGGGTAGTGTTTGTCTTATCCTTTATGCATTCCGCTTGACAAGGGAGAGAAAACATTTTCCGGGGGACAGGAAGGAAGCTTACTGGTCCCACCCTGGCTCTGGAGTGGCTGTGGAGCTTTGTGGTTTGTGAGAACTGCAGCAGATTTCCTGGTGTCATCCTGACCTGCCCTCCACAACAGCCATACCTGGGTGTGCACAAGGTGGTGTGGGGGTGGCTGGAGGGGAGGCGACAGGCCTGGTTGAGACAGGTGAGAACTGAGGGCAAGAGGCTGAGAATGGAGAATCCAGGAACTCAACAGCATGATGATGACTCCAGGGACATCTCCTCCTCATGAACTCACCTGGTTCCTCTCTCCAGGTCCATCTCCTCCTCATGAACTTGGGCAGCCATGCCAGGGACCCTATAGGGATTCAAAAGCTGAGGCCACCAGGAGAGCAAGGTGAACTGAGAAGACCAGGAGGAGAGCAGAAGAGCCACAAAGTGGCTGCCAGGAGCCTCTGAAAAAGTTCCTGAGTGAGAACCACCAACACACCCCCCACCAGGAGGTATCAGGAAGCCTTTATAACAACAGCTTTCTCTAATAGTTGACTTTTAGATTCTTCACTGTGTAGGTCTGGGGTGTGAAATTTCACACAAATTTTGCCACAAAATGTCAATGAAGTCTGCTGTAGGCATTTCTCCCTAGTATGGTCTTGGGGGTGTAGCAGGCGAAGCATGAGCTGAGGGTGGCCCTAGGTGGCAAGCCAAAAAGAAAACCAGGCCTCAAAGGCTACCAACAACCATGTGTGATCAGAAACACATGCTCCCTGGCCATCCTCAGGTGAGAATCCAACCCCGCCTCCTCAGGTTGCCACCTCCTCCATACCTGCCTGGATTTCTGACCCACAGACACTGGGGGTGAATCACTGTGTGTTGTTTTAAGTTACTCAATTTGCAGTAATTCCTTCCATAGCAGTTGATAACGTGCGCAAAGGGAGAGTAAAAGGAGGGTTGGTGCAAGACAAGAACAAGAGTGCTATGGACTAAATGTTTATGTTTCCCCCAAAAGGGGAGGCAGGGCTTTCGGGATGCTTAAGTTACAGGGTGGAACCCTCATGAAGGGATTAGTGCCCTTATAGAGAGTCTCCAAAGAGCCACCTTGCCCTTCTACTGCGTGAGGACACACAAGATGGTGCTTCTATAAACCAGGAATTGAGCACTCACACAATACCAGATCAGCTGGCACCTTGATCTTGGATTCCCAACCTCCAAATCTAAGAAATGAGTATCCATTGTTAAAGTCACCTAAGCCTTGTTATTTCGGTATAGCAGCCTAAACAGACTAAGACAACAGAAAGCATGAAATATTGAGCAATGCCATAAATAAAGTATATTATAAGGATAAAAGAATGAATCTATGAATTTGGTATATAAATGTACAAACATTAAGATGTCAGAAGAGAGCCCTCCCTGTTGGCACAGTGGGTTAAAGCGCAGCACTATGAAGCTATCTGCAGCCATTGCAGCACGAGTTCGATCCCTGGCTAGAAAGGTGACCCACATGGCATGCCAGACCTCTCCTGGCCCACCTGCTGCTCCCCTCAGCAGTGTATTTCAGTCCGTCTACCTGTTCTGCTCCCCACTCTGTCTCTGGTGAGTCCTCTAACCCCCTGTGCCTCTGGCCACTGATTCTCCACATGGAATAA